TGGTATTCTTTCCATATAACGGTTCCATTCAATTTATTACCAAAAATTAAGATGTGCAAGAGCTGAACTTCGGAACTTTTCAACGAAGCATAAGATTTTGTTCGTGACAAAGCGAACTATTCAACAGCTCACACAATCAGACTGCTCTGTTTACATAATGGATCTGGTGTCAAGAATCATACATATAGCGACATTATTGTTAGGTAAGATTAATATTAGAGCTTCATTCCACATTTCAGACCCGCCCATTCAATATGTGTAATAAGAGTCAATTTTTTATCTATGGAAATATTTTGTATGATATCTATCAGAAAAACTTGTTATTACAGTAATTATTGATTTAGTAACTTATATTGCTAAGCAAAGAAATCAATAATCAACAATAATTCCACTTTATCTACACATTTGAAATATTTAATTGATTGTTTTGTTATGTAACTTTCCTATTAATTGCAATGGCTTCATTTCAATAGCAAAGGTTTTTATTCCAATTTCAAGACGTTTAATTTCCCCTCGCTTCCATTGCAAAAAGTTACATTTAGTTTGACAACGCTATAAGTTCAAGATTAGTAAAGTACCCACATATACCATTTTTAAATTCAATTATATGAAACCTTTTGAAATTGCAATAAAATCTTTTGCAGTGGATATGAAACTTTTGCAAATCGAATGAAGCTTGAAAATTTATAAAAAAGAAATGTATAAAAAGAGTCAAAACATTTTTATTTGTAGTAGGTTTAACATTCAGTCAACTAATTATTACTTTTATATTAATTAATTGTTATTTTTATACCCTCCACCATTTTATGGAGCTTATATTAACTTTGTCATTCCGTTTCTTACTCCTCGAAATACTCATGTCAGACCCAACAAAGTGTATATATTTTTGATCAGCGTTAACTTCTAAATCGATTTAGAGATATCTGTAGCAAATACACAATCTTTCGAATGAATTGCATAGAAGACCAAAATTTTGCACACATGTACGTAGGTTAAGTTCGTAAATGGGTTTTCATGATTAAGCAGCATTATTCCTTGGAATTGTTTCAAATTTCGTTTTGTGTTAATAAAACTAGGACCTAGTGGGGTTCAAACACATAAACTTGAACTGACACTTATAGTCCTTTAAAATCTCCTTGCAAGCACCTAAATTTGAAGGAAAGACGATGTTTAGGAATTGAACACAAATTGATTCTGGTTGCTTCATGAAAGGCAACTGACTAACTCTTTTTATTATTTTCGTTCTATTATAAAAATAATTTCATAGCATAATTGATGAATTGCATAAAGTAAAAATAGGTCAAATATTATTCATACAAAAGTGAAGAAATTAAAATTTTAAATATTGCAAATAGTCAATGAACCTAAATAAATATATGTCACATTAACGATAAAATGATTTACTGATACGTTGATAAATGAGTTACATAAAAGTGCTGAGTTAACAAGTTAAAGAACTAGAAAACTGTAAATACAACTTAAGGAAGATCCTAATTGATACTACAACATATGACGGATAATTGTCTTTGCATGTCCACGCCTACGTATACCCCACATATAACGGTACCTCCTTTTTCGGTATGTTGCTGATATATTCGACATTAGTAGGGTATTTGTGATGGTACAGAGTCAATAAAATGAATTTCCTTTGCCACCTTTTTGACCTTTTAGAGATTTATCCTTGATAAAGCCTGGGTTGTCCCAGTTTATTGACCAGCTTCTGTATGTCTAAGCATATATTTGTGTGTCCATCTAGATTTAATTGGCTTCACGTGCCGGCAATTGTTGGAGAATGTGAGGGTTGGCCTTGTTAGAGTTGAGATTAGGCCCGTTTTTAGTCGGGATTGGCCAATTTTTAAGCCGAGAAGGTCCAGTTTATTGACCAGCTTCCGTATGTTTAAGCATATGTTTGTGTGTCCATCCAGACTTTATTGCTTACACGCGCCGTCATTTGTTGGTAAGTGTGAAGAAAAAAACTTTTTTGTTTTGGTGTGTAATGGTTTCCCTTTTCTTGCCGCCACCTCTTCTCCCTATTCAGCACCGTCTTCCATTATCCCCCTTCTCCCTATTCAGTGCCGCCTCCCACTGTCCCCCTTCTCCCCCCTTCTTCCTCCAACTCCCTATTCAGAATCGTTCTCCACTATACCCCCTCTTCCACATACTTTTCTATCTTCCCATTGCTCTATACCGTCCCCTCTTCCATGGCATTGAAACAATCTCCCTGTTCCACAGACCACTCTTCTTCATTAGACAATTATGCTCTTATCAGTACAAATTATATTAGAATTGTGTGTCGCTCTGTCCAGATGTAAGTCCGACCACATACATGCTGTGACGAAATACATGCTTGTGACGAAAGTAAATTGTAACAGAAACATTGTTTATATTTTGTTTTGGTCATATTTCAGATGCATTATTGATTATTGACATGTTTTGTCAGCCTAGAAGTTGAAGGCATGCTTTGTATTTGTATGAATAATTATTTTTCAGATTAAAAGTTGGGCATAGAATTTGGGACAAACTTGTTTAATTAGTCATAAGTTTTTTCTTTAAAGTTCACGATTAGAGAAAATATATTGAATTCAAAGTTTTGAAAACTAGGAAAGAAAAAAATATATTTATTTATACTATATGTTTAATAACAACACCATTCGCTTGGCTATGTAATGTTTAACATGAGTATAGACTCATAAGATGTGTATTGTGATGTTTTTTTTACAATATTTTACATTGAAAGGAAAGAAGGAATTTCAATTCTAAATAACTATTTGATTCAAAAAAATCAATTTTTTAAGAGAAATTTATATAAAAATACATTAAGCCTACAAATGAACAAGATGGTCCATCAACATCAAAGGATGCTACTGTAAGCACTGAAGTGTTTACTCATGTCGAAGATGACCTTGCTAACTTTGGCCTTAAACATGCTGGCCATAATCTCAACAATATGTCAGAATTTCAAGAGAAAGATTCTGGCTGGGCTTTAGAAAATTCCTAAAATTGATGTTAACATTAATAAAGCCAGTTTGACTCGCGGTTCCCAGTACATTGAAACAACATTTTCATTAGCAAAAAAGGCCTGTTTGAACAGTAGAAATAATGATGAATTCTGTTTTAAATTTTGTGTGGTGTCCACACTCGGTGAACCAGCAAATGGAAACCGAATCTATACATCATCCAAATTTTTCGAAGAAAATAATAATAACATCACGTGTTTGCCTACGAAAATGGGGAAGTTGTTGGTTCTTACTACCTTACCAAAATGAATAAGCATCATCATATCAACTTGTTGTTGTTACATAATGGAGAACAATTTCATTACACACATATTTTAGATATGTAACGGTAATATAAAATCACGATAATACAAAACATGTTTTGGTTAACTAATTTAATATTTTTCATTTAAAGTTATTGAGAAACCAGCTAACAAAACGTATGAATGCAACTCATATTTGTGATGGATGACTACTACATTTTACCACACATAAAATCCTTGAGGGACACAAGAAGGAATGCGGAGGTGTTGTGACAATTTTACCCGAAAAGGACAAACAACACATTGAAATTTAAAAATTTTTATAAAAAGGAGAGAGTGCCCTTTGTTGTATATGCTGATGCTGAAAGCATTGTGGAGGACGTTAGTTGTGGGTATTAACGAAAAAAAACGGTAACGTTAAAAAACATATACTGCTAGAAACACAATTGGAGCGAACGACGAATTTTGTCGCGGCGTATGTTCGTCGTCAAAAATAAAACACATATGTGTATATGGAAGTGCACACAATCACGGCACCGGCGAAAATTTCGTCGGTCGCCGCGAACTCAATTAGCTTTATTTCTATTTCATACGCCGGCGACCGGCGAACAAACAGTACAAGGTGGCCATACTTGTACGAATTTTATGTGTTTTAGTAAATAAAGTTACTTTTTACTTTAAAATTTGTTATGGTCACTCTACTATCTGTTATTCGTATAAAAAAACATAAATAATTTGTTTATTTATTTGTGTACTTGCGCCTGAGTGAAGATGGATATCAGTGAATTTATAATAGAGAAGATGGACATAACTGAAATTTTAATAGAGAACGTAAAGAATTATGAGTTCTTGTATAATTTGGCCTCAAAAGACTACAAGAATGTTCAAAAAAAGACGGAAGTATGGGAGGAAATTGGCAGCTTGGTCAATTTGTCGGGTAAGCAAGAAATAAATGACAATGTTGTTTTACACATGTACTTACATACATTTCTTTATATCTTTAATTGAAAAATTTAGGTGAAGCTTGCAGGAAACGGTGGAAAGGGCTCCGAGATACCTACAAGAGGCGCAAAAGAGCAGCTCAGCTTGCTTCCGGAAGTGGCGCACCAAGCCCATCTAAAAGATGGAGATATATGGAGTCGCTGGAGTTTTTAGATGACTACAAAGATGCACGAACGTAATTACATTCTATTAATATGTTACTACCAAATTTTAATGTGTTTTCATTTGAGTAGAACAATTGGAAACATTGATAACATAGACAATGATTTGCCAAGCATTCTTGATTGCTCGTCGTCTTCTGTCAACGATTTTCTGCTAACTGACGAAAGCAGCAGCCAAACAAACGAACCTCCGCCGAAGTACACCAAGAAGCACGCGGACGCAGAAATAACTACGGTCTTCAAGCAGGTTATGCAGGAGTGTGCAAATTCTGTAAGAGAAATTGCTTCAGGGAGTGAAATTAGCCGCAACTCAACCTTGTTGCTTTTCGAAAGCTTGGCCCAAAAACTAATTGAGTCGAATTTACCACAGGTCACAATGTCAGAAATCGAGGCTAAGGTCGTGAGCTTAGTTTACAAGGAAATTGCCCAGAACATACCTTGATTTTTTTTTAATTTTAAATTTCAATTCTATGAACTGAATTTTTTCTTTTTTTGTTTTTTAAGTTTTTTTTTTAATTATGACTGAAATGACATTAAATGTTGCCTTAGTATATAGTTTGTATTAAATACATTTGAGTTTTGGTTTTGTTTTATTACTATTTTATGTTTTTGATTACTAAAATATTAATGAAATTGAATTCGAAGAAATTTTTCAGGAATGAATTTCAAAAAAGTGGTTTGTTAATTCGTCTCTCACAGCAAAAGCACTTGCTGATGAACGGTTGGCATGGGAAATTCGGATAGAAGGCTGGGATTCTGATGCCTGCCTCCATGTACCACGAATAATTACTCCATTTTCTTCGTGATCCACCAAACTTTCTTCAAAATATCCGCAGGTTTTATCTAACATTAGGTAATTATGAAGAACTACCGTTGCTAAAACTATTTTATCTGCGTTTTTGGGTGACACTTGAATGTTTGTATGTAAAATCCTCCACCTGTTTGTTAAAATGCCAAAAGAGTTTTCAATGTATACACGAGCGGCAGATAACTTTTTGTTAAAATTTTGTTTAGCGGCAGACAAGCTTCGTCCAGGATATGGCCTCATTAAATTTCTCTTCAAAGGGAAAGCATTGTCTCCCACAAAGAAATACGGAAACGTTTTATCAGTGCCTAAATGTATAAACTCAAAATTTAATTACTATAATTAAATGTACAAAATCTTTTACCAGGTAGTTTATCATCAGGGGGAAGATTAATTTGATTTCTCAAAATCATTTTTCCAAACGAACTTCTTGCAAAGACTCCACCATCACTTTGGCTGCCAAAAGCTCCAACATCAACAAACATAAAATTATAATCCGCGTCACATACCGCCATTAGCACAATGCTAAAACTTTTTTTATAATTATAAAAAAGTGAACCACTATTTTTTGGACAAAAGATGTTGACATGCTTGCCATCAATAGCCCCAACACAATGCGGCATGCCTGTTTTCGTGTAAAATCTTTTCAAATAAATATATCATATATTATTATTTTATTTAACACTATACATTTAAGTTTCCAAACCTTTCAGCAATGCTTTTCCACTTGTGGTGATTAGGTTGGGAAACATATACCTCATGGAGCTCGCTCCAGATCGCATCGCAAGTTTCATAAATTATCTTTCTCACAGTCGAAACACCCATTTTGTATGTCCATGCCAAAAACTGTGTACTGCAACCGTGAGCTAGGTATCTGGCAATAAAATATATGGATCAATTGTTGTCTGGAAATTAGTTCTCAGCAAACACTTACATTAGAGTTAAGCCCAAACGTGTTTCCTCGTCAATTGGCTTTCTTTTTGAAAATCTTTGCAATCGTGGTTTAAGCAAATCTAGAAGAGCATTAAACTTCTCCACGGTCATCCTTGTAGCTTTAAAGAAGTGCTCTTCATCTCTTAATTTTAGCTCCGTAAAAGCCATTCTCTGGAATCCTTCAGTGTTTCTTTTAATGTTCACTGGCCGTACCCACCATCTTCTCCGTAAACGTTTTCGCACAAGCAGATAAGCTTTTACTATAATATGCATTATGTTTATTATTTTAACAATTTTAATTAACTTTACAATTCTCTGATTCATTGTAGTCAACAAATCAGCAAAAAGTAAACAACTTTATCAGCTGTTTTATAATTTCGTCGGTATTGTGTTCCATACGACGAATTTTCGCGGCTCATTTTGTCGCCGCGTAGGGCGAAATTCGTCGTTCGCTCCAATTGTGTTTCTAGCATACCATGTGCATTTAGTTATAGTATATATTGTAGTTTTGATAATAATTTAAAAAAGTTCAAATCTTTTAGTGGTCCCAATGCAGACAATGACTTCTTAGAAAATCTTATTAAAGATTCTAAATATATTTTTAATGATTATTTAACGAAGACTAGACCAATCAATCGTTTGACACTTTTAGAATTAGAGGACTTTGATAGCAGTAGACTATGTCACATATGTGAAACAGAGTTAGGAAATGATAGAGTGAAAGACCATTGCAATTTAGCAGGTAAATATCGAGGTGCTGCACACAATAGTTGCAATTTAGAATATCGTGTTTCCCGATTTGTCCCAATTCTTTTTCATAATTTCTCATCATACGACTGTCATCTTTTCATCAAAGAATTAGTCAGATTTGGAAAGAATTAGTCAGATTACGTGTCCATGTCATATTTTATTAAAACGAAAGAGTACACAAGCAATTTAGTTGACAATTCTATTGATTCTGAAAAAAGAGAGAAAAATGTACCTGACCTAGAATTAAGATTCCTAGACAGTTTTAGGTTTATGTCAGCAAGTTTGGATAGTTTAGCGAAAAATCTTCCGCCCTCTGAATTTAAGGCAGTTAGCATACAATTTCCAAATGATGCCGACTTCAACCTTATGACTAGAAAGGGTGTTTTCCCGTATGAATATATATCTTCTTTCAACAAATTATTAGAAAATCAATTGCCCACCAGAGAAGAATTTCATAATAAGTTAACAGATAGTGAGTGTTCATTAGAGGACTATGAACATGTATTGCGTGTTTGGAACCACTTTAATAGTCAGACTCTTAAAGATTATTTAGAATTATATCTAAAAACAGATGTTTTGCTTTTAGCCGACATATTCGAAAATTTCCGTGGTCTATGCATACGAGTTCACAAACTTGATCCATGCCAATATATAACAGCTCCTTCGCTGTCTTGGGATGCCATGCTGCTTTGTACTGATGTTGAACTTGAGCTTTTTACAGACATCAATATGTATAATTTTTGTAAAAATGTTATTAGAGGAGGGCTAACTTAATGTTCAACTAGATACTCTGTCGCCAATAACCCTAGTATGTCAAATTGCGATCAGAGTAAACCTGACGTTAATATTTACTTACACAATATCTTCCAATAAAGGATTTTAAATGGGTAGAAGAGGAAGAACTGGAAAAGTTTAATGACATTAATAAAATATTATCAATTCCGGATGATTCTCCAACTGGTTTCATTTTCGATGTAGAAATCGAATATCCGGCCAATCTTCATGATATACATAATGATTTACCCTTTTGCCCAGACAACAAATGTATTGGGGGATCCAAGGCCAAAAAACTAATTGCAGACTTTTCAGACAAAAAGCCTTACACCATTCATTATAGACTTTTAAAGCAGTGTTTGAAACATAACTTAATACTTAAAAAAGTTAATAGATGTTTATCATTCACTCAATCTAACTGGCTGGAAAAATATTTTATGAAAAATAATAACCTTCGAGCCAAAGCTACAAATGCTTTCGAAAAAGATTTATACAAATTATTCAATAATTCTGTTTACGGAAAAACAATGGAAAATGTTGACAAAAAAATTGTTCAGATTAGAACTCATTGGGAGTCGCATGGAAAACTTTTGGGTGCTAGAGATTTTATTTCAAAACCAAATTTCCCTAGTTTTTAGTTTTGAAATGAAACCCATTTATTTAGGATTCTGTGTTCTAAAGATATCCAAATGGGTGATGTATGATTTACTTTTTAAAAGTAAAGTTTGGAAATGAATTCATACTGAATGGATACCGATTCGTTTATACTAACATTTTGTGGTCGGGACCTTTATCGAGAACTAACTCTAGACGACATAAAGGCACTATTCGATACATCTGATTTCTCCCCATCTAACGTTTATAAACTACCGCTTCTTAATAAAAAGGTGAAGATGAGAACGCAGGTAAAACTATGATTGAGTTTGTCGGTCTTCGACCAAAAATGTATGCTATTAAAGTGAGCAATAGCGAAAAAGTAAAAAATCGAAGGGTGTCAAAACATGTATGTTAAGGAAATATACAATTGATACGTACAGAGATTGTCTGTACAATAAACAAAATTATTTTAATAGCATGCACACATTTAGATTAAGGAAACATGATGTATATGATTTTCAAGATGACAAACGGTTTATTAGGGAAGATGGTATACATACTTATGCTTGCGGACACTATAGGACTAACGAGGACTTTTCAGATCCAAGCAATTTACCTTCAACAATCCCAATGGATGTAGATTTGGACCTCAATGAATTACATATCTCCAATGAATGTGGAAATTATATTGCCAAATTTTTGCACATCAAACCCATTAGACTTGGTACATATACCCCTATCAGATTTAAATTTAAATATTAATGATATACCTAACATAGAATTACCTTCACCAATAGAAGGACAATCTATTTTTAATATGCTAAATTAAAACATACGTTTGTTTTTTTTTAAATTTACTTTATTACGTTAAAATAAAGAACAACCACCATACGATTATGAATAAAAAGACAATATGATGAAGTATTTTGTGGAATTTGTGTATTTGTTTCAAATTCGATCTTTAAATCAATTGGACCATTTTTTACTGTTTCATTTTGACTGCTTATGTCAATAAGAGCAACTGAGTTGTCTTTAAAACTAGATTAGGTTAGATTTGGTTGTGGGTCCCTCATAAAATATGTCTGTTTAAACTTGATATACATATCATAAAGTATTACATAACGATTCTCAGAGAATTTTAGATTTAAATCATCACAGGGATAAGTCTCCGAATTCAAATAAACTTTAATGTTTTGAAGATCACAATGGAAAAACTTGTTGTCCTTTTCGAATACTAAAGCCACATATCGTGGTCTTTCATGATTTGTCGACAATTTGACATTCCATGTATGTTTCCTTCCACCAATAAATGTTGGATTAAAATAGCAATCCCAACTTCGAAATGCTATAGGTAACATCTTTCCGTCTTTCATAGTTTTCAAGAAACTAATTTTTCTATAGTCAGACAAATGAATGTGTTAAACTTTCCACGTAATGTTTGTGATTGTTAGACGGATATATTCTTTTGAGTCTGTTTAAAAACACACATTTGTGTCATTAGCACTCCGCAAGAGAATCAAATCATGTTTGCTGTTACAAATTACTTTGTTGAAGTCTTCCACAAATCCAAGCAATCGATTTCATGGTACACAAAAGTTAAAAGAGTTAGTAGTAAACTCAGCACCTGATGCACACAATTATTCCTAAGTCTTGAATTTGGGGACATTTCCCCATTTGTTTTCTCAAATAACCTTCAATGTACAAAAAGGTTCCGGCGGTAATAGGTAAAGATGTTGATTTTGTATGCTTATGCGTATTTCATCATTATTTTGATAATCGCGTTTTACAATATTCCCATCGGAAAAAAGTCGATCATTTATATTAAGTATTTCAGACATTGGGGTTTACTTTTAATTTAAGTAATTTTAAAAATTCTTTATTTTCTTTGGTTATAAAAGGTCTTGTCGGTTTGACAACTTGATGTTGAATGTTTTTAGAGGATTGTTTTTTATTATATATTGTAGATAATCATTTTTGTCTTGGTCTTATATGAATTCTAAGTGTGATTGTTTCTCCTCGAAAGTCTATTAATCGCCCTTCTTGATCTAGTATTATTATTTCAAGACGAGTAATTTCCTTGGCGTTCACCGGCAAATAAATAAGGTTCCACGGCCTCTCATCTAATTTATAGCCTGGTGGAAAATCTAGAGAAAATTCGTGCAGAATATGTGCAGGTGAATTATTTATAAATGACCCCGTTACAATATTACATTGTATTTGTATGGCACTCACCTTCATAATATTTACGGGAAGTGTTGAGATATGCTTCTTTCCCGGATCTAAAACTGTTTCCGTGAAACCAAATAGCTTCAATATAGATTTTTCCTTGTTCAAATAAATAGCATCATGAGAAGATGTAATTTCTACTTGTAATGTATTATTATTAGCTTTAATGTCAATAGATCTGTTTATATGAATAGCTCTGTAGTCTGATTCCAAAAAGTCTGCCATATCTTGTAATTCATAGGATCCTATTGGTATTTTTATAATATCATCCCCGATATGAAATAAATTATTATGGTCATCCACGTTAGGAATTGAGTTATATGATTGGAAACCAATTAAAGCACACTCATATTCAACATCACCTAATGATATAGGTGGTGAATAATTCGAGCATAAAATTGAATTTCTCCCCGTCAAAGTAAATGTTCTTGACATTGCAAGATTCTAATTTGTAGTACGTTAAAAACAATATGGACTTGAGTATTTATACTTATTATTTCCAATTAAAAAAGAAAAAAATGTTACAATACGTCATTCTTATTTTTCCATGATTTATGTTGGTTTGAAAATCCTAACCATTTTACAAAAACTTTGGTGCCCTTTGTTTTTAGAATTTTCTCAACTAAATATATATTCGGATATTTTGTAGGTAAAAGTTCTTCTCTGTAGAAACAGCTTGTATTGGGTTTCCTGCTAAATCTTCTAGCAAGTACGTTTTAGGGTTTGTTATTCTTATGGTTTTTTATTTTAAATATTTCAGTTGTCCAGTTCGGCGTATAACTCTTTTCAAACTGATGTTAAGTATGTAGTTCATTCACTAATTCTCGTTTTTCCATATTTTATTTAGACTAGTATTTTACAGTGGGCGAGAAAATGTATTTTTTGATAAAATGTTATAAAGCTCGTTCAGCGAGTTATTCAAATGTGATATTTCTTGTCTTATATCAGAACATTCTTGAAAAACATTCTTCTTTAATATCTTTTGTAGGTTC